ATGGTGGGTACGCAAACTTACTTTCATCTGACCTCCGATAATTCGTCGCATCAAGTCATGTTTTGGACCGGCTGGGATAGTTCTCTGAAATTTAGTGGTGCCAATATTCGGTCTGATATCCAGAGCTTGCGTGGGTCTGGTAGCGTCGTGCCTTATGCAAAACTCCCGGCGCAGTGCAAATAGGTGGCGAACTCATTCCTGTATGAATTGACATGTGATGGTAGAGCATTTGGAAAAGACTTTAGATGATCCTGGTATGTCCGCAAAACATTCAGATCTGCCAGCCTTTCAGTTGCCAATCGACTTTTCCGCATCGGTTAGTTCGAAAGTGCTGCATGTAAACAGCCTTTGATCAACAATCGTTCATCGATGTCCGCACGTACCAAGTCTAGTTCAAGTCGACCACCTTAATGAGTCTCGGATTCGCTAAGCCTCTCCATTTGTGAATTCAGATCACCGGCAACTACAACGACAACCTTTTAGCTCACCGTAGCAGTGCACCCAAGGCGTCATAAAACTTATCTCTGGTGGTGTCACAGCTATAGTCAGTAGGGGCGTAGGCAGACACGACAAACAGACATTAAATTCCCGCTTGTGAGATTCCTTCACAGACATTACCAGACAAGCCGCACACAGGCGACTATCAAGCAAAGATCCTTCCAATCGGTGATTTTGGACGATACCAGTCCTTGCAAATCCTGATGCATCAGCCTCTAGATCGCCAGTGGTGCACAGTCAGAAGCGAGTGGAGAGTGATAGGTCGGTTAGCTCAACCACCGTGCTTGCATCTTGAATTACCGTCTCTGGAACACAACACACATCAATGCCAAGCGAGTCCAGTGTGAGGGGAAGAGCAGCTTGTTGCCCAACTTGCCTCAGAGTGCGGACATTTAAGACAGCCAGATAGACTGGGCGCCAAGATCAAAAGATTGACTTCGAGATGCCTGAGGACGACAGTTCTGGAAGACGCGCAGACGTTGCTTGCAAAACCGATGCAGAATGAACAGAGTTATCAGTCCCAAGTGCTGGACTCAAAAGAAGAGATTTGGTGGTGAGGTGGGGAGAGGAGAAAGAAAAAAATATGTGGAATAGAAAGAAGGGAGCTGTCAGCAGTAGGTCATTGTCGCTTATCCGCCCAGCTTATGCAGTAAGTCGACCCGGTTGATAGCACCACGCTACGGCCGATGTCGCATGAGTTTATTTGTATATATGCAGGTCATGGTTGTACGTAGGCTGGTATATTGTCAGGGCGTCCACACCTAGACAGGAGGACGATTAAGGTCCTTAACCAAAGCGTTTGGCTCAAAAGCCTAATCGCTAGGCAGCGGTGTTGGGCCGGAAATGCAAGCACATTACTATTTTTACGGAACAAGTTATCACACATGTTCCAACCCCCAACCTGGAGAGCCAGGAGACTAAGTTCGGCAGACCTCCACCCATGGACCAACCTGGTATGAGAAACTCTGTCAGTATCGTGCGGACATCCCTCAGTATAGCTCAATGGATCGCTGAGGCATATAAAGCGTCGGTGTCTTTGTGGCGTCGAGGACTCTCTTCGAGAACTAAGTATAATTTGCTTTGAAGTAGGATATAAAGTTGATGAAATATGAAGGACTACGCTCACTTGATGCGTTCCAAAAAGGGCAAAACTGATCTTGGGCTGTCGACGTTTTCAACAGCTTTATGACTAGTCTCCCGTCAGATAACTAAGACATTTCTTAAGCCCAAGTTCATAGTACCTGAGGAAGTCGACACGTTCGACTGCAGTGTCGCTGGAGTTCTGGATAAGAAAGTGCTCGTTCATTTCCATTATCATTTTAAAAAACCTCGACGTGCGGGTGGGCGCTCACGTGAGTACGAACTGGGTTGCTGCGATGAACATCGATGGAGTTCACTGCAGCACGGAAGACCTTCTGGTAATCATTACCCAAACTCTCGCAATACATTACACAAAGAGCTAAAAATATTAGCCCACGCGACAACATAACATTGACACAATATCAACTCTGGACAGACTGGCTATCCGTATTGCGCAAAAAGTCGTACGACCAACTGGCCTGGACGACTGTAAACAATTCATGCCATGTGACTGAATAGTCACGTGACTCGGAGGATCATGTGCCTGCAACCTACAATAGTGCACAGTAAATCAACCCTGAGGTTTGGACAATGAATCGGATAATTAGCATTTAGTCACTTAAAAACATACAACAGAGGCAGACGCCTGGTGTAAAGTTAGATAAAAGGATGAGAACGACGCTATGCGAGAAGAGTATACAAGTCATTGATAATTCAAGGTCATTAATAGGGGAAAGTTTGCCATGGACAATCATAGGAAGAAGGGCTTAAGGTGGCTGGCCATGGAGTGGAAAACGTAATCCATAACATATTTCGTCCAGACTGAGGCTTGTCAGCTGAAAGCAGTAGGAATGGACGCACTTGTTAACACTCACTGACGGCTGCAGTGTCCGCGGACCACTGTTTCCATGAATGGAGTTTTCACTCGTCTTCCAACTACGAATCACAATTCCAGCACCGTAGGGGAGGCGCTGAGACATGCTATACCCAACTGAGCTTGTACGGAGATTTCGTCCTACCGACAGAGTGAAACTCAAGATTCGAACCTGTCACTACTGGTTAGTATCACACTGTACCTAGTCGGTCAAGATCGACTGATTTGTGGTATGAATAGCATACATTAAGATATGCTGTCAACCATTTTACAGTCGCATAGGTCGGATACTGACGCTGTCTCGAATAATCCCCTCACAGGGCCCATACGATTTGTGGGATTTTATCCGTTTTAAGTAGATTACTCATAGTTTGCACGTGAAAACTTAATTAAAATATAGGTATCCCACTGTACCCAGAAATTAGTAGAGTTGTCAAGATTGTCATAACCAACCTATGGGTTGGCTGCGACCCAGGATGCAAACGAACGGCATACGTACGTTCCTTCTCGTAGTTTAATTACTCTCTGACCACACCGTTGTTCAGAGTAACCCGTTGTGCATTTCACCTTCGAAAGGCAGGAATATTTTGTTATTCAGGACAGGATCAGTTAAAGATCTGGGTCAGCACAGGTAACGGGCAGGAAATGGAGTTGTCTCCCAACACTTTGGAGTGTTTTCAAAACTGTCTAAAACAACTACACTAATCATTGTTGAAGGCAAGCTCAACGTAGCCTATTCGCTGCAATATCACTATCCTGAATGTATGTCAAGATTTGGTGTACACTCATTAGTACCACAAATGCACACTGGGGAACCAATGGACCTGAATTTGGCGTTAGAGCACCTTCGTTCGCCGAAGATCGACATGTCAAACAACGTTTCCGAATTATGCAGGAATTTACCCCTGTGGTGAAGTGGCAAAGTTGAACGTTTCAAATTCCCCGGTCCATTCTGAGATATTGGTCATCTTTCCCCAAACATTTAATGAGAAAGTCAACGGCACCGGATGAAAGTGGTTTATTAAAAGGCGGAAGTTCTTTGTCAGGGTAAATAAGTTAAGAGAGCCATTGTGAAGTTGCCCCTGCCCCAGAGACAAAACATCATTTAAAGGAAACACTTTGCTCTGGTCTTTTCAGCCTTATCCAAGCTTGGAACTTTTAACCTAGATAAAAAAAATCGACCTTGCATACCACAAACCTAAGAAGTTCGTGTTTCCTATGAAGACTATATGGGTTCACATAGGGTCACTCAGACGAGGTAAACCAAACACTAATTTAAAGCACTTGTACGGGTCCTTAGAAACGTGCCGTCAGAGGGTGGTGTAGTGTCAGACCCAGCGGCTGGCTACGTTCCTTTGACTTCATTCACATTTATCGTATCTCGTAGTCTTTGTTTTTGACCTGTCAATACATCAAAAAAATATCGTTCAGCTGTAGCACCCTTACAGTGCCTAGCTGCTATGCCACCCGAAGGAAGTACGAGGGCTGGAATACTGCCAGGTTGCCCAAGCCTGGATAGGGGAAGTCGAGAGGCAGAAGTCGGGTTCGAACCACGGACATTCCAGTCAGTAAATTCGCGCTCTGACCACTTATCCCACGGACCTTCTGGGTCATTAGATCCACGTCCTAATCACTTGGTCCATCTCGCCCCCAATATATTCACTTTATTAGGACAACGCTATCAGATTTCGTAGAGGAAAATCTGATCCAGAGTTGCGTGGGCAGGAAATCTCATGAACTGGTCCTAAAAGTTTCTAAATAATTTTGCCTCGCTCCGCCTCGTATTGTTGAATGTTGGATTAATAGAGCGAGGGAACATTCCAAAGATGAAAAAAAGAGGTTGTTGATGTGAGCGATTCAACGAAGTGTACACCGGTTAACTCCATTAACACATCAAAAGTACAGTGAAAAGGTAATCGTGTCCTAGAAATACATTGTACCGAAAGTTGAAACCGCCAGTGATAATACCATCACCGATGGCCTCATGATTTAGGATGACCAGCTTGTGGTTAAGACAGTTCACAGTAACGATACTTCGAATGATGGATTTTCACACAAGAAACTACTCACAAGGTTGCTGAGAACTTTTCAACACCCCACGACTGGTTTCGCCCTTCTTAGGACTCATCACGTAGGCGCAGTCCCCGAGCTTCCGTCAACCTTATGTTCTACTTGAACCCAAATTCGACTGTTTTCGAAACACACTCATTTTCACGGAAGACTCAAGTGAATCTCTCGTTTATGATGTTCTTCAACTGAATCTACTACACAAAGGGCGACCCATGTTTCAGTTGCTATGACATTCGAGATATCGCAGTATATTTTGATAGAGGACATTACTCCCAAGGTTTCTGAAAACTTTTCGACCTGGATTGTTCGTTTGTGTGCTAATATGAGGATTCGACATTGAAGATTACATGCCTTTTATATCTTACAGTCGTGTGTGCCTTTGCGTGCCTCCTCAGTAAAATTTAAAACCAAGAGAATTGGCAGAACCTGGCTAATAACAATGGGAATGGATGAGACTAGACGACGTACAACCACTTACTTGGAAATCCTTGTAAAGGGACCACTTGAATCGTCGCTCAAGACCATAGGAATAGAAGCGGAAGAGGCATTCAAGTCCGTATCTATATCCAGCGTCTGCGTCTTCCAGAGCCAGACGTCGGAACTCTCGATAGATACGAAGGAAAAAATTGTCTCGAAGGAAGAAAGACCAGAACCGGTATAGAGTATTCATATCCTCAGATTGTCCCGGTCCGACTCGTTCGCGATCGGCGAGACAAGCGGCCCGGTAGCGCATATAGCTACGAGAAGTCAAACCACCCGCATGTAAGCAGGACTGGCTCATATGGTGCACAAAGGTATTTGAGGAAGGACCCGCACGAGAAACTGCAGGATTCGGTAAATGCGCACGTGCTGTGGAAGTGTCCGGAACATTTGAATCTTCTGTGGCTTCGATGGAATCATCGTCTTCGGCGGGAGCTGTACTGATTATGACGGTGGTGCCACACGTACTGATGTCACTAAGTGCACGAATAGGCAAGAAGTCTCATTATGTACAAAGGAAACGCGATCCATACAGCGAAAATAAACAGTACACCGTGACCTTCTAGCACAGACCCTTTCAAACGAAAAAACCATCAACTTAAGAAGTTCAGAAAGGGTTCTGCGTCGTCTCCGTTTATGTGATACTTATTCGCTTTCCTTCTTGGTGATTTCTTCCAGAGTATCCTTCAATCTTAACCAAAAGACAGTACGAGCACACATTGGTTAGGTGTACGGAATAACGTAGCACCAACCGTTTCCAAATGCAGAAAGAGACGGTAGCAGAAATTGGAATATGATGTACCCAACCGCAAAAAGAGAACAGCTCACCAGTCATACGTAGTAGACCAGCGCGAAAAAAACCGGTTCAGCTATAACACCCTTTCGGTGCCTAGCTGCCATGCTACCCAAGGGAAACACGAGGGCTGGGATACTGCCAAGTTACCCAAGCCTAGACAGGGGAAGTCCAGAAGCAGAGGTCTGGTTCGAACCACCGACCTTCCGGTCAGAACCTGACCAGACCAGCGTGATGTGCATAGTAACGAAACTGCGTCGACAACCGGCACCTTACTCATAACTAAAATAGTCAGTTCTGTTGGTCAGTGAGCTATCTCTCAAGTGTCATTAGGGCTGTTCTCTGTCACCCGTTCTCGTCAACTTCTTAATCGATTTGCTTATTGATTCTCGATTACCTGCCTCTAACACCCTCAGGAATCGAACCATACCAGAAAAGTTCGCTCACAGACACTGAGAACGTCGATGATATTCCTCTCCTTTGAACACGACCCTCTAGAAATGCAAGCTATTTTAAACAACCTTCAGCGCAGTTCGGGAGGTGCTTTGCAACCGTCAAGTGTAAAATGCTGCTGCAAGATTGGTGGAATAGAGCCCATATCTCATGCTTACAAACAAACCGTTTGATCTCTACATGAGTAGCATCATCATCATCAAAGACAGCAATATTAGTGTTGACACTGATGCTTCAGTCATACAAACATAACGTTCGTCTTATTTTATTTGAAATCTGAGAGGGGAAATAGGGGAAAAAGAGTGGGTGAGGGAGGGGACCTAGCGCTGGCCCATGTCAAGCATTTGAGGTGCCAACACCTCCAACCGCCCAATCAAACAACCTGGAAAGAAACTGACAGCACGAATGTCATGATGAGGACTGCGTGACAGCCACTGCGGCTGGTTGGAGACGCTGCAAGATATGGCTGCCAAGCGATGTCAGTGGTATTCTTGTTGTCAGTTTCTATCAAGATTGTCTGAATGAGTGTCTGGAGGTGTACGCATCCCGGAATGCTTGAGGTAAACTAGCGCTAAGTCGCTTCCCCATTCACCTTTATTCTTTTCTTCACAATAAGGCCTTCAAATAAATCATGGTTGTACGGCAGCGAAGCGTCAGTGCTGAACACCGATGTCATGCTCCCGATTATGACTACCTGTTGACCTGCTTGCTTCAGTGTGCTAACACTGAAGGCGGCTAATTAGACAGGCTTTCGGGGTTTGAAAACAGACTTCGAAGGGTTTGGGGTTGTGACTGAACTCGCACGTCCAGAACCTGCGGAGAAAGTATTCAAATTTGGGTGGGAGAGGTTGAAAACGTGAATGTGTAGGGAGTCACCGCTCACTCGCCCTGTTGTATGCAGCTAGTAAACGGATCCAGTTGATGGCACCACGCGTCGGCCGATGGCGCATGATAGTATTGTTAGCTGTAAATGTCATGGTTGCATGAAGGTTGGGATACTGTCAGAGTGCCCTCACCTAGACAGGAGGACAATTAGGATCCTCAACCACAGCCTTTAGCTCAAAAGCCTAATCGCAAGGCACCGGTGTTGGGCTGGAAATGCAAGTATATTACCATTTTTACGGAACACGTCGCCATACATGTTCCAACCCCCAACATAGAGGGCCAGGTTAGTGGCGGGGGGCCCCCCCCCCCCCGGTATAGCTGAATGGGTCGCCGAGGTATACAGACGTTACACTAAGGTAAGGTCCAGTCTTTTAGTAGGTAACAGCATGAATGCCGATGGACTGACCGAAGACCAAACCATTTTCCGAAATGGAAAGACTAGGGCCGTGTTCGCTAACCTCCGACATGACATCAACCTGGTTAAGGCTAGTGTCCATCGCTGCAGTTCGATTTGTGCTACTGTGCGAGTCAGGGAGGTGGCCGCTGCGCGTGGAAAATATCGAACCATTGTCTCGTCTGACAGGATAATATAAAGAATGCTAGATGTTTTTTTATGTGAGTCCAACCCCCCTCGATACATCAATTGGTTACGCCGGTTAGGTAATGCATGTAAGAGGGTCGTTTAGCTTGCGCAGCCCACTTCGCCCAGCCATGTAGATAAGGTGCACCCAGTCCAGGACTTGACAACGAACAGTGGAAAGCAACCCCGACGATATGGCAACTACTGTCTCCCCAAACGAGAAACGGGACGTAAGGAACCAACGGTTAGTGATGCTGGCTGATATGGATGTGTCAACCAGCCAGTGGCGATCTTCCGTGAACGTAACTGGCTTCAATATGTAACTTGATCACTCACAGACAAACGATTCAACGTCAATGAACAACTTGAGCCATCGCCCAAAACGTGCGTCTGTCCTCGGTGAACGAAGCTGTGGCAGCTGGAACCGGTGCACATCGGTGCGCGGTTTGACATTAACTGACTGGTTTCAAGCCACATCCTGTTTTCTCATTGCTGAACTTTAAGTGTAACTGCTTCTTTGCACCATAAATGCTTACTCATTAGGATGTGACATTCGCCCGGCCAGAACCCTTTGTGACTAACTACATACGCCTAAGGTTGAAGAGGGCTAGTTCGCCTGTTCAAAACAAAACTGAGGCTGTAACAGAGATGCTGAATCCGTGGACACCGAAACCACGGGACCGATTCCACCGGAATCATTGGACACCATAAATAATTCTAAACCGTGGCCTCTAGGAGATCACCTGTCTTCTTTACGCTGCTCAGACTTCAGATCAATCTGTCGCAAACATTAAATTAAAGCAGGGTCAAGTGAACTAACAGATAAGGACAATAACAACATCCAACATTTTTACTGTTCTTTGTGGTACAAGGATGTGTATGTGCTTGCTTTGGGCAGCTCTCCTGTGGTCGGCCTTTTCACGAGCGATGCATGAAAGCGCCAGCATAAATCGCAACGCACATAATTTTTTGACGAACATTAGACGAAGACATGTACTTTTTCTGAAGGCATGGTGTGCCGCTCCAAAAAGCAACGCTTAACTGAGGGTGTACGTTATGACAGCGAAATCAGTTGGTCCTTGAGTTACAGTGCAGCACCAAACCCCAAGAATCCCTGAAAAACAATCTGGTGCATCGTTTTGGCTAAGAAACCGATTGACAGCGCCAACTAATTGGAACGTCCGCCAAGCAGTTTCCCAGCTGTCTGTCGAGTGACATTTGGCGCTTTATAAGAGTGACCAACGGTCATGGAAGGATAATAGGAGGCAAACTATGTTCAGCTGCGAATGATGTCAAGTGGCAACTACTGATCAGTAAATATCACCCGTAGTAACTGTGCGGCTGATACCCGAGTAATCATACCGCATAACGTGTACGTTTCGGTGCTACGTTTCAAATGCATCAGTACAAAAACTTCGGGTTTTGAAATTAAAATTTGCAGATTAAGCGAGATTACCTGAAAGAGTGCATTTTTAACGCAAACCATACAGTTTCTTTGCAATGCCTAACGAGTGAAGAAACCCATCACTAGTGTTAAATTTTATCGAACGTTCGCTTACATATGACGCTTGCTTGCGTAAGCTTATTGCCAATATTTCATAGTGAGCCTCCCGGTTGGAACATACCGTTGCCAGTAAGAGTGACAATGGGATATTTGGCACGTTAAAGGGGCCCTCCTAGGACTGTCTCCTAGTATGCACATAGGTGATCTGGTTGCGGGGAAGCCGGACGACCACAGACATCACGGCAATACTGACCGATTCCGATTACTCAGACATAGAGTACAGAGTGAAAACTCACCTGGCCATAGAAACAACAGCCCTCGATGATCGGCCACGTGAAGCAACATGGTCTTTACCCGATCGATTCGACCCTGCTTCTAACAACAGACTGTTGCGGTCTTGGTGAGTGGAAGCACGGGCATCAATGTCAAAGGCGAAACCAACGTCCTTCTCATCGCGTTCAGCCCTCCCAGTTGATTCGACTTTTGCCGGATAAAAGCCGGTCATACGGCGTTTTGTGATCTTTTTTGCAGTGTGTTTCTCATTCGAACTGGATTTTGTTTGCTTGCTGGAAGCAGCAGCAGCAGCGCGGGAAACTTCCGCGACCAAGGCAGCCACTGCATTCTCGGCCTCTATCTGTTGTTCGGCCTGACTTGAGGTGAGCGAAGCCGCGTAATTAACACCAGATTCGCAAACACCGTTCATTGGATAATACACAGAATAAATAGGAATAGGGGCTGGCGGTACCCAGTTCGTGTTGACGATAAGCGAGGGAGGGGCAGGAGGTAGAGTATTGGGGTAGAAGAAAGGAAATGGTGAAACCTGTTGTGAAACACCATTCGTTAAAACAGATCGAGAGGATTCATCTACAAGTGTTGTGTTAGGGAGATGTCGGTTGCTCGGATATCCGGCAGAGTGAAGGTGACTTTCCATTGAACCACATGTAGCCGCTTCCTTGAGGCTAGCGAATTCTTCCGGGGATACAATGTTTACCTATAGCAAGATCAGAGGAAGTGTCGTGAGGAACGCTAATGCCCATAAGGACAAGAGCTTTCAGTTGAAAATACGTAATGATTTATGTGTTTAAAGACGAAGGTTGTGATGCAATACAATAGGATTCGGACAGATAGCAACCATATGGAGAGTTAAAGCACTGTGACACACAAGAATTATGGGTGTAGGTGGAGTACTCTAAACCACACACCGTAGGAAGATAACTATGGAATCCTCAGACCGGGACACTGGGGAATGCAGCTGTTAATGCAATAATTAAATAACACACCTTTTCTAAGTGTCCGCAGCTTTGTTCGTTTTTACCGTCATAAGTAGATTCCATTGTGTCAGAGCCATCATCCGCATCGAGATCTTCATCGAAACCAAGCTTGCACACGGAAATATAACGTTTACGTCGGACAGTGCGTTCATATTCATCAAGCCCAAGTCGAATTTGCTGAAGAAGATCGGCATTCGTCTTTGCTCTTGCGAGATTGGGGGAGAAAGACAAAGCGTACGTGAAACGAAACATAAGTGAAAAGAGGAAAAGGCTCCAGGACCCAACAAACAAAAAGGGAAGCAATGTGCTGGGAAACGGAAGGCACTTAAGAGAGAGAGAGAGGATGACACAAAGCGTGGACGGATACGACAACAGATGAGATGAACTACTGAATGAGTGAACTTAAAGTCACTTCTAGTAAGCGCCTGCGGTATTCTATGATACATTCTTGTGTTAATTAGTGCCCGTAAGCTAGGCGGATGGGAACCTTCCTTCCGTAACTTCTTTTGCTCCTTCCTGCTTGAGAATGAGCCAACACTATTGAGTTTTCTCGATTACCGTATGTTGCAGTCTCCTGGGAGCTCGGTACACACACCGGCTCCCAGTAAGTCGTCTTGAAACAGCTCTTCAGTTTTCTCCTAAAAAGTTGGATCGTTTGTTGTTGGGTCAGAGGTTCATTGATTGCAAACTTCTCTTGGTTGTATAGATCGATTGAGATTTTAACCGGACCGGTGTCTGAGCATTGTTTGGATATCGCTTTGTCCTCTTCTTTATACAGCCAATCGCCGAGGGTTGACGACCGACTGTTACGAAAAACAGCTCATACTACAATCATGGTTGCAACATCACGCGCTCATTGCAGTACAGAATGGAGGCGGGTAAGCAGAGAAATTAGGTGGAACCGCAACATTTTTCGAATCTTTGGTAATGAAAACTGTTCTGTTATGGTGAATTTACTGCAAAACAATTTGTTGTAAATTTTGTTTGGGGCGTGAGACCAGCTATTTCGAAACAGCTCTGGAACATAGAAGGTTTCGACCAGTAAACTTTGCTGGACTAGTGGTGGATCTGCTACAAACAGCTGAGAATCAGAAAGTTTAACTGAGGAGTTTCCGTGGTCACGGGTAGATAAAGCGGGGTTCATATTAGCCGACCGTCCAAGGGTGTGGTTGCGTGTGAGGAAGTACTGTAACCGTTTTCTGCCTGACAGCACATGGATCTTTTCTTAAGTAATAGAATATGCCCAAATCTCGTACGCCAATCGCATCTTGCAATCAAATGATCAGTAAGATTACTCTACAGAAGCTGATACACTCGAGACTCCTACCTGGCTTTATCAACCACTCAAGCGCGATCTACCTGCACCGCTCGAGCA